CCCGGGCGGTTCCGTTCTTTCCCCACTCCCCCGGCTCGGCCCTGTCTCCCAGAGTGCGAGCCAAAAGAGCCGGGGCTTGGTCTCAACTGGGTGGGAATTGGGAGAGTAACGGAATGTGTAGCGCTCTGGGGGCTGGGAAACTAGTCTCCCAGCGCGCACTCCTGGACCGCGCGCCTTTGGTGTCCCCAAGCCAGCGTCTCCAGGCAGAAATCTGGGTGCAGACCCGCCTCCCCCTTTCCCCACGCTCTAGGCACACGCGGCCCGGGAATCCAGTGTCGGAGACCTTCCACAGCAACTTTCCCAAGTCGGGCTGCCCACCCGAGGCGCCCGGGGCTTTTGCTTGGAGCGACTTGGTTGGGCGCGCACCGCTTATTTTGTTCCAAAGACGAAAACTTCTGGCGCCGGGCCGGCCGGCCGGGTCCTGCTGTCCGCCACTGCCCCCTCTCGGCGGGTGAGGGTGGGCGGGCAGGTCTCCCAACTCGGTTCTCTCTTTCTGGCTGCAGATCTCAGCTGAGCAGAACTTTCCGCCAGAATGCTCCTCCTGCTACTGGGCATCATTATCCTCCACGTCGCCGTGCTGGTGCTGCTGTTCGTCTCCACGATCGTCAGTGTGAGTACCCGGTGGGCAGTGGGGCTCAGGGCCTGGCTGGGTGAGGCCGCAGACCTAAGTGACCTCACGACCTTTCGTTCCCATTTGAGTCCTAGCGTGTTTCCCTTGGTTCAGGACTGATAGGCCCAGAAAGTTGAGTCTCCAATGCCCTAGGGTTTTTGGCACTTTCTAGCAAGTTGCCCCTTCTCAGTTGTTTTGAAAACCAAATAAACAAAAAATCAAAACAGCAGCAACAACAAAACGAACCACCACCACCAACAAAGACTCTCAGCAGATTCAAACTGGCAGGAAAGCCTGCACAGGCCTGTGTTTGAGCTGGAAAATTGCAGCGTTTGTCCAAGGCCCTGGACACTGCCACTGCTCAGCAGTTTCCTGATGCAAGCTTGCTGAGGAAGAAAGGATTGATGAAGGCTTGCTTTTAGTTTCTTCAAATGTCAAAGGCCAGAAAGGGGCTTTCATTTATAAAATGCCCCTTTGGCCTTAAAACTGAGAAATTCAAATGGGCTCTGCAAAAAACAAACTGTGGGTACTGGGCCTGCTTTGTGATGGGGCCCATAGCACCTTGTCAGTAGAGCACCCACTGATAGAAACAGGTCACATTCCATTTTAAATTTACTCCCTTGGCGATAAAGATGCATATGGACGCGGGCAGTGACATTGCAGTGGTTTTAATATCTTAATTTCAGACCAGTTCCAGGCAATATGTTCCTGCCAATTTAAAAGGTTGAGAAATAATTATGTCAGTGTGAGAGATTATTACATTGGCGATATATGAATTGGGTCTTTTATAAGCCTCTCCACTATGTCTGCAGTGTACCTGATGATGATCAGGGCAAATTCTGAGGCACTGTAAGTAAGGGGTTTTTAAAATTGTCCACAGGGGCAATTCTACCCTCTCCCATGGGGTTTCTGGGAGTTGATGTTGATACGATGGCAGGGAGGGTTGTTTTTTGTTTAGTTTTTGTAAGCAAGGAAATGGACTCTGGGAAATGGTGGTTTGGGGGATGGCTTAGAAGGCTTGGATGCAGGGGTCCTGAGTTGCTACCATATCTCCTTCTATTATAGTATCTGCCCCTGCACACAAAGCTGGAGGTGTGTGTATGGGGTACTTTTCCATTTACAAAGCACTTTTCACATACAAGGATCCCTGGTGGCATAGTGGGTTACATGTCAGGCTGCTAACTACAAGGTCAGTAGTTTGAAATCACCAGCCTCTCTGCAGGAGAAAGATGAGGTTTACTACTTCTGTAAAAGTTTGCAGTCTTAGAAACCCATCAGGGCAGTTCTCTGTTTCATAGCAGGGTCACGATGAGTCAGAATTGACTCACTGGCAGTGCTGCCATCTACAAAGTGCTGGCTCTCATTTCAGTACCAGGTCTGGGCCAGGCTAGCACTTCTCTTTTTCCCTGATATGATTGTGAACTTGGCCTCTGTCCTTTCGAGCCTGGGCAGTGGCAGGCCAGGTTGATCTGTGGATGAAGCTGCCCTTTGCCTTCTTTTATCCGTTCTTCGTACCTTGCTCACTACCCTCTTTGATTACGGATGTCTGGTTCTTTCTAGCAATGGCTCGTGGGCCATGGATATGCAACGGACCTCTGGCAGAACTGCAGCGCTTCTAACACGGGCAACATCCACCACTGTTTCTCGTCGTCCGCAAATGGTGAGACTGGTCTTTTCCTCCACGAGCTTGACCTTGTGTATCTGTGGCATGTTCTCAGGACAGAACCAGCTGCATTGGTTCTTGGAAGACACCAGTCAGAAAATCGTGGCAGGGGCAGGATAAGGCTCCAGGATCTCAAACCTGACTGAGGGAGCAAAGGTCCTAGGTGCTCTTGAGCCTTCTCCCACCTGAAGCAATGCTCTATGCTCTGTGCACTGTTTGGGTGAGCACCACAATGTGGACAAGCTGTCAAGGGGACATGATGGCTCAAGCTCAGGCAGGCCTCACTGGTAGTTCTGACCGAGGTTTCCTCTTCTGTTGGTGGCAGACTCTGTTTAAAAAAGCCCTTCCTCTTCCTGCTGCAGTGCAGTGAGATTGTCCTGAGGACAGTGGGGCCTGCTTTCCTGTCCTGCAAGGCTGCCTTCCCTGACTCAGCCTCAGTGGTGCCACTTGTCAGCAAACGCTGGAGTGCCTCATTATTGCAAAACGGAGCCTTGAAGCTATTTGCAAAGCCCCAAACTGAGTCTGGGAACGCCTGGGTGGTGCAAGGTGAGAGGTTTGAGTCCCTGCAGAGGCACTTCTGAGGAGCAGCCTCGTGATCCACACCTGCAAAATCAGCAGATGGAAATCTCGTGGAGCACAGTTCTACGGGGACCCACGTGGGGTCATCGCTGTGTCTCGGAATAGACTACACAGCAACAATTTTGTTGTGGTTGTTTTCTTTGCTTTTAAAAAACTAATCTTAGGGCTCCTTCATTCAGAAGATTGTCTCTCTATTTCCTCTGTCCCGGGCATCTTTGCTGTAAGATACATGGATGTTGGCTTAATTGGTATTAAGGGCAGAGTGAGCAGGGAAGGCACCCTCTACACCCCAGATACCCAGAGGCATGGGTGCTCGCCAGGACTTGCAAGCATGGGGCTTTGCAAATGGAGAAGAAGAGCTGAATATGAGGTGTCCTTTTAGGGGTCTGGAGGAGTTTGTGGCTGTGTGGACCCTGGGAGGGACCACAGTAATGGATGTGGAGAACACAGAGGGCCAATCTCAGCCCAGTCTTGTGCTCTACAGGATGAGAGGAAAGTCGCTGTGCATAGGGCAGAGCATGGCATCTTGGGCTTAGAAGGTCATCGCATTCGTTCACTGCTCAGTGTTGCTGCAGCTCCTCAGAGATCCAGTTTCTCCATGGAAGATGCTCCACCTGTTTCGCTTTGGCTCGGTTAAGGGAAGTCACTCTTAAAAGCAGGCTTGGTACATTCTAGTCTCTTTGTAGGGGTTTCCTCTCTTCTCCAACCATGTGACTGGAGCATTAGCAACTGAATACTCGCAAGAGAAATTGTTAAAATAGCCATTAGGTAGGTTTTGTCAGAAGGAACATCCAAGGAATGCTTATTTCCACCACCACCCCCTTTCCTTGCTGGAATAAAGACACTGCTTTTTAAACTTCCCCTTTCCAGGAAAGACAAATAAATGAGAGACATCTCATGCCCCCGAGCTGTTGGGAGCAGCCCTAGCTTTTCTTCGAGTCTATAGACAGGGTTGCACTAAAAGCCTCCTCAGGGTTACATGAAAACTATGTAGGATGAGTTGGGAACCAAGTCAATGAAAGAATCATGTGAGTCTAAGACTTGGCCATCTCAGTGCTTCTCCCCAAAGCAACCCCCTAGCTGTGTGTGTGTGTGTGTGTGTGTGTGTGTGTGTGTGTGTGGTTCCTTCCCTCCAGTCTCAGGCTGGGAGGTTCCCCTGTTCGCTCCTGGCCCCTGGTGGTCCAGAGTGGGAATGCAGCCTGAAACATGCAGACTTTGGCTAAGTCAGGTGATGCCTTACAGGTAAGGTTTTCAAATGGGTTTTGGCCCCATGGTGCTGGCTGGGAATCATGGCCTCTGGGGCCCAGAAGCGGGCAGCTTTGGCAAGCACATCGGCCCCCGCCGTCTTTCTGCAGAAGCACATCGGCAGAGAAACAGCTATCTAAGTTGGGCTCAAAACTCCTGTGGGAAGAGAAGAGCTCTGTATCTTCTGGCTTGGATTCGGCATCTTCTGTGGTGTGGGCAGCTGTTGTTCCATCCTAGAGTAGATCTCGAGAGACATCAACTACCTGCCCCTCAAAAAGGATCCACAGCTGCAGCTTCATCTCTGATACAGATTGGCCCAGGGTCTACTGGGAAACTGGGCTCCATGGAGTTTCTTGGAAGTACACCACCAGCTGTTTCTTCCCGTGCAGGGGTGCGGTGCAGCAGGCTAGACTCAAACTGCCAACTTTCGGGTTTGCAGATGAACTCAGGAACTCAAGGATTCCAAGAGGTGCTGAACACACACACACACACACACACACACACACACACACACCTACACGTGTCTTCTCAGTGTTCACGAGATTGAGACGTTGAAGGAATCTGGCTGTGAAACACTATGGGCTGGTTTAGACTCACGCTTGTTGTGATCCAGAAGTTTCCATTGAAGCCTCTCTGGTAGCAATTCTCATCTCTGCTGGCACCTTCCTGAGAGGTTGGTGTGGGTTATAACTAACTTCAGCTCAGAGATAATGATGTCTGTGTGACTGCTTTGTTGGGTCTGTGACAACAGGGTGAAAACTGTGATTAAAAGAGACAATACCTTTGTAAGTGAACTCTACTAGCCGCACACATTAACCTTATTTGCATTTGCTCTAGAATGTTTGAAACATACTTTTAACTTGAGAAATCAAAGTAATTTACTGTTGATACTGATTGGGCAAAGAGTGTGTTGTAAGTGAGTTACACAAAGGATACATCAGATGGCATCACTTGCTATTTTTTTTTCTGAAGGGACTACATTTTATACATGTAGGGCCTTGGATTCTACACCACACTCATCCAGCAACATTCACATTGTTCTCTATAGGAACCGTACCCCACCCCACCCCCCCAGCAATGTGACAGTCAGGCTTAGAATCCCAATGTCTATGCTACATAGGGTGAAGACGACATCAGATCTTTCTCTAAGCTCTCTATTGCTATTGGAAGTAGCTGTAGAGCCCTGGTGGTGTAGTAGGCTGCAATCTGCATGGTCAGTAGTTCAAAACCACCAGCAGCTCTGAGGGAGAAAAACTGGGCTTTCTACTCCCGTAACCAGTTGCACCCTTAGAAACCCCACCGGGGGGTTGCTGTGAGTTAGCAGCCACTTGATGGCAGCGAGTATCGTCCTTAGCAGCTTCCCTCAACTCTGCCTGCCTTCACAGTTCTAAATTCATTTCTGGTCCCTTCCCTGCTCTTGTCATGGGGCTTATGCATTGTGACCTTTAGTTGAACGCCTCTGAGACCCTGGGCACACCAAGACCTGCAGAAGAGGAGCCCTTGCCTTGAAGGTGCCAAGTCGTGTTGAGGAGTCTGGAGGTCAGCTTGGAGGAATGAATTGTGGCGAAGGCAGCGCCAGGCAGGTGCCCAAGGAGTTGGGCAGGCAGGCAGCCAGTGTGCCTGAGTCCAGGGGAGGAAGTGGAATGGAAGCTTTGTGGGGGAGGTGGGATTTGACCCATCCTCTGGAGGAATTAAATAAATACAGACCAGGGGGAGGATATGCTCTGTCAAGGCAATGATCTGGCCACAAGCCAAAGGAAGGCACAGGTTCACATAGACCAGCCAGCTGGTGTTTAGTTAGGATTAGGATAGTGGTACTGCTGTAAGTAAGGGAGCTCATTTTTCTCTCATTGAAAAGAGGAGGCCGCCCAGGATAACTCTGGGACTCTATAAGCTTGACAGAGGCTCTGGTATTTTCTAGTTGTCCCCCCACCCCTTTTCTCTCTTGCTGCCTTTTGAAATTGCCTCTCGTTTTCATGAAACAAAAGGGTGGGATTGCTCATCCACTTCATCCACTCTCCAGTGAGATTTCCCAGGTGGCCTACACGCTTCTGCTCCAGAATGTAGCCCCCTGGCCCCACCAGCTGACAAGAAATGGGTGGGCCAACCAAGCCCATTCACGAACATTTCACAGCAGCCCCTCGGGATCCTACACCCCTGTGGAGAGGTCCAGGGATCTGAGCGCCTTGTGCTCTCCCAGGGGCCTGTGTTGAAACTGAAGAATCGTCCAGACTTCCCTCACTCTCTTTTCCTGCGCCTCCTGTGACTAAACGCTGACGACTACACCCAAACCTGTCATGCTGATCTTGACTCGGGGCAATCCCGTGTGTGCAGAGTGGAACTGTTCCAGGCAGTTTTCAGGGCTGTGATTACCAGGCCTTTCTTCTGAAGTTCTAGGTGGGTACTAACCCCCGCCCCACCCGCCCCCACACACCTCAGTTAGTAGCTAAGTGCAAACCAGTGGTGCCACGCAGGGAGCTTTTTCTCAGTTCTTTATGACATTGTGTTGACTATCTCATGGACCTTTGTTTTCTCCAGTCTGGAACTCTCTTCAGGGTTTCTGGCCCCATATCCATTGACCTGATAGACAGATGGAGCCCTGGTAGTGTAGTGGGTTTTGTATTGGACTCCTAACCACAAGGGGAGAAGCTCAAAAACAACAGTTGCTCCTCTGGAGAAAGATGAGGCTTTCTACTTCTGTCAAGAGTTCGCGTCTCAGAAGCCCCTAGGGGCAGTTCTCCCTGTCCTGTGGGGTTGCGGGGAGTCAGCCTGGACTTGGTGACAGCGAGTTTGTTTGTTTTTACTAGACAGCCCCACCAAGATATCGCAGAGATGCCCAAAGCCACTGTGTCCAAACTTGGCCTTCAGCTTTCTCCACTAGCGCTCTCTCTCTCTGTCAGCCTCTCAATTTCAGTGAATGGTGCTCTGCTGACCAGCCGGCCAAATGGCTAGTCTGTCTTGGTGTGCTTTCCATCTCCCTCCCTTCTTGAGACCAGCAGGGGGTCCCACGGTGTACCCAGGGGCTTGTGTCTGTCCCTGTCTGAGAGCATTTGAAGTCACTAACTAGCTGGTTCCCTGTGTCCTCTCTGGCTCCCTTGCCATGCATTTTTCCCTGATGGAATTCAGTGTGGTATTAAAAATACATACACAAAACCAGTCATTTCCCTTCCAAC